ATAATTAAAAATCACTTTAGTATAAAAAACTTATTTATCAAATAAAAATACTACTAATAAGACAAAAATTCACTTATGAAATATAAAATATATAGAAATACTTATGAGTAAAATATTTACTTAAAAATATAAAATTAACTTACAATTGTAAAATTTACTTATAAGTACAAAAAATATGAACTTAAGATTTTAAGTAAATATTTTATTTTATTTTATTTTTTAACTTATACGTAAAAAATTACTTAAAAATAAAATATCATTTAAGAGTAAAAAAATTTCATATAAAAAACTATAAATTGAAAATTTTACTAAGGGACGTATGTGTAATTTTATTTTTTTTTAAAAAAATTAAAATTGGTGGCCAATAAACTCCAAAACATAAGTTATAGCACTTGGGTAGGCCTGGACATCGAATATGTCAACATAGGTATTTCAATACCCAAGTACCCGTTATACTTCGAGTATTTCGTAAAATGGAATAATTCGAGTCCTTGTAATTATTAGAATCAAATCCAAACTCGACCTTGTCGGTTCAAGTTCAAATTCGGGTCTATCCATAATATTTTTTTTATATACTTTTAATAAATATTTTCATATAGGTCCTTTCACTACATATACCTTACAAACTACTACTCGACAATATTTGTGCAAGGAAGAAAATACAGTTAAAAAATATTCAAGCAGCAAAAAACGAAGACTAAAAATCACAAAAAGAATAGAAAATTAAAATATTAAAAAGTAAATTACAGTTTGAGAATAAATTATTTCTTTTAATAAATCTTATTATATCCATAAGTGAGCCATGTTAAAGCTTATATTTTAATTATGGACAATACTTAAATTCTTTTACTTTTAAAAATAACTGATATAAAAAATATTAATTAAAAAATAATTATATACTATCAACAAATTGCAATCCATATATTGAACTCGTTCTATTTGAATAAAAAACGACAAATCATAATTCAAAAGAGAACCACGAGCTCAAGATTGGTTACAAAAGGTATACCACAGCCTAAATTATGAATATATCAAGTTTCAATTGCTACGTGTTATTAAAAAAAATTAAAAAATCAATTAAATTTATAAATAATGAGAAAAAAAAGCTCGAATTGCAAAAAATGAACGCTTAGATTCATCAACTTACACCACAACCCAATTTGAACTTTTTTCTTAATAAAAAAAATTCAAACTGCAATGATTAATGTGTACTAACCTCTGAAATATAACAATATGTTGTGAGTTGAGAAGCAAAAATGTATGAGCTAGTTTTTATTTTTTAGGATTAGAATATTGAGTTTTAGATAAATTGCAACTCAAATAAGGGTTTTTAGACTTTGTATTTTTTTCCCCAGCCTAATTGTAAATAAAAAATATACGAAAAATTGATTCCATTTAGATCCAGTCCGTTCTCGGTTCAAGTTCATGTATATATATTTTTGCTTGGTTTCGATTTCGATTCAATTCCGATTTGGAAAGTTCGATTTCAGTTAAAATGCCAAGTCTTAAGTCGAGTCTTTAACAATCTCTCATCTTGCTTCTGAAGAGAAGGTGCGAGGGGAGGGGAATAATACTTAGGACTATCAAACAAAGATCCCATGGCACCGACAATAGCCTAACTAGACTGTATCATGCCATTTTATTCTTTGAGTTAATTGATTACTAAAATTTTGCAAGTGTATCGTATCGTAGCAACGTAATAAATATGAGTAAATTATTTCATTGGGACTGAATATGGTGGACTCAGGGTGACATTGGTGATGGTGGAGGAATGTTTGTGATGGTGGCGAGTTGGATTACACATAATTTCTGAAATGGTAATTCTTGGTGGTTTTTTATTAGTTAATCCGTTTGTGGTGAATTTTTTTGTAGAAAATGGTGGTGGAGCGTGATGGAAATATGATCGTTTGTGAAGATGACAACAACAATGATGGTAGATGTTAGTGGCGCGTGAGTTAATAAGTTACAAATTGTAAAATTACTTACATTGTAATAGAAATAACATATAGCTCTGATAACTATTATTTCAAAACTCTTTAATTTTCATACTCATTTTCAACCACGAATTTACACAATTTCTTTCATATTTTCTAATCACAAAATCTCTATTCAAAACTCAATTTGCTGACAAACAGGGACATACTATAAGTTACAACTTCAAAGAAATTATATATATCCATTTTTGGTAGAGATTAAAATCTGGATTTTAATATAAGTTGAAGTCAAAAATAGATATTAACTTATATTTAATAGAATTCACAACTTTTCACATACATATTTTATCAACATTTATCAAAATCTACTAAAAATTTAAATCTCCACCATATGGGGGCATGGATAATACCACTTATTCATTCCCTTGTGTATATTGTGGTTTATATTCTATTGAATTTCAAATTGAAATGGGTGGGAATATGCGTTTTATTTAAAAACTGTCCAATGATGTCAATATACGTGGTACAATGTCAAACTTATTGTCAAAGAAGATGTACGTGGATCATGATTCATAGGGGCATAGTGTAACGGGATTCAAACGTAAGTTAACATATAGTGTAAGTTACAATCATTTTAACTTAGTCTTATTTGATCTCCATTCTCTAAAAAATCATTTTTTTTTTAAAATTTGTTTCAACTACATATTATCTCAATAAAATATTTTTACTCCTAAGTCTAATTTTTGTTTCCCTATTTTTAACCCCAATCTCTCAAAAGAAATCATTAGTATAAAAAATCTATTTTCCGAAATATAGGCTCGAACATAGGCAGTAGCCTTATTAAATGTAGGTTTTAAAAAAATTCAATATAAATCAATTACGTGCATTCACGTCAAAAAAATTACATACCTTGTAACAAAATATTACATATTTTAAGAAATACCCTATTTTTAAAATTATTTTGCATTGACCTGATTTTTTGACTTGATGTCCTAAATGTTTGTAGTTGCATAATTAACCATCTTTTCTATGGTAAGCCATTGAGCCTAATACCATTATTTGGATAATACTTCAAACATTTCATTGCACAATGTGTCAATGTAGCTCCGAATTAATTTATTTGAATAATGTTATTTGTATATATTGAAATTATATAATTATTTACATGCAGATAGAAAAAGAAAAGGAGACTACGGTTTTATTGATTCTGCATAATGTAATTGAATAATGAAAACCTAGATACAAAGAGACTATATATAGTCTAAAATAAAGGAAACTTAAAAGACTATTCTACCCTTAATAAATAATAAAAATAAAATAATCATATATTTCTTAACAGAATTTACACAATTTTTTCATATTTTTTAATCACAAATTCTCCATAAAATCACTATTCAAAACTCAATTTGCTGACAAACGGGGACATACTGTAAGTTACAATTTCAAAGAAATTATATATATATATCCATTTTTGGTAGGGATTAAAATTTGGATTTTAATAAAAGTTGAAGTCAACAATAAATATTAACTTAGATTTAATAGAATTCAAAACTTTTCAACTACATATTTCATCAATATTTATCAAAATCTACTAAAAATTTAAATCTCCACCATATAGGGGCAGGATAATACACTTGTACATTCTCTTGTGTACATTGTGGTTTACATTCTATTGAATTTCAAATTAAAATGGGTGGGAATATGCGTTTTATTTAAAAACTGTCCAATGATGTCAAGATACGTGGTACAATGTCAAACTTGTTGTCAAAGATAATGTACATGTATCATGATTCATAGGGGCATAGTGTAACGGGATTCAAACGTAAGTTAACATATAGTGTAAGTTACAATCATTTTTACTTACTCTTATTTGATCTCCATTCTCCAAAAAATCATTTTTTTTTTTTTAAATTTGTTTCAACTACATATTCTCTCAATAAAATATTTTTACTCCTAAATGTAATTTTTTTTTGCCCTATTTTTAACCCCAATCTCTCAAAAGAAATCATTATTATAAAATCTATTTTCCGAAAAATAGGCTCGAACTTAGGCAGTAGCCTTATTAAATGTAGGTTTTAAAAAAATTCAATATAAATCAATTACGTGCATTCACGTCAAAAAAAATTACATACCTTGTAACAAAATATTACATATTTTAAGAAATACCCTATTTTAAAAATTATTTTGCATTGACCTGATTTTTTGACTTGATGTCCAAAATGTTTGTAGTTGCATAATTAACCATCTTTTCTATGGTAAGCCCTTGAGCCTAATACCATTATTTGGATAATACTTCAAACATTTCATTGCACAATGTGTCAATGTAGCTCCGAATTAATTTATTTTTGAATAATGTTATTTGTACATATTGAAATTATATAATTATTTACATGCAGACGGTGTGCTAAAAAGAGGGTGAATAATTTATTTTTTTTAATTTGGTTGAAGAAATTTTGATCTAATCATATTTTATCACATAATGTGTGTAAACTATGGAGTAAACCATAGCAACCCATTTTATTTTTTTTAACAAATTAAAGATAGATATTTTCGTCGCTAACTTTTCTTTTTTTGTCATTTCATCTTACAAATTTTCATTATTTAGAAAATATGTTGATGAATTTTTGTGCGCACAAGTAAAAATGGAATATATAAGTCCAAGGAAAAATTATTCATCTTGACTTTGTCAAATTCCGTCGTTCGTATATTATATCAAGATTTGTAAAATTCCTGCAATTAGTTTGGTCGTTTCTTGAGATATATCTTAAAATAGTATTTTGATAGAGAATGTATGGTTAAAAAATAAAAATAAAAACTTTTAAAAAAAGTAACATTTGAGATTCTAATGTTGACACGGAACAAAAAGGAAACACACAAGTTTTCTTTCATATAAAAATGCGATGTACACTTTCTATTTTTTCCTTCTCTAATTGAGATCCATCAACCAGAGAGAATTGACACGAAGTAACAGAATAAAAGAAGACACGAACAATAGAAGGAAAATTAAAATCAAACAGTAGATGCACGATCACTTAACTGACGATTAATTTAATGTTTCGACGATCTTTAATGTTTCCGAAGAGCGAAAGCAGACAGAACAATCATGAAAACGAGGAGAGCGACGGCGATGAATGCCGCCACCACTGCCTCACTAGTCGTTTGGCAGAAATCAGTGAACTGCTGACATATTGCCAACCAATTTGCATCTGAATTCCCATTGTGAGCCAAGTAAACTATTGCAGCAGATGATCCAGCTGCAGCAGTTGTCAATGTGACAATCATCTGAAGATGATATTTAAAAGTTAATATTTTACAAAGATCATACGTTTATTTATTTAAATTACATCTTCAATATTTTCTTGGTTAGGAAGCTTACGGTGTCAAGGATAATTAGGAGGAGCCTTGGTCCAACTGCAAGAGGGCGGGCGATACACACAATTGAGAAGGGTATGGAGAGGACAAGGTATCCTGAAACTATTGCCATTGCCACAACAAAGAATCTGCACCATAGTCGATGCATCATTATATATAAGATTCTTGTATGAATAACGCTATTCATTATTAGTATACATAGTCGTCAATTTATATGATAGTGAACCCCTCGATTCATTAAAAGAGTACACTGCCTACCTACATTAGTGATGATCTCTATTAATGAATAATGCTATTCATTAATTAGTATACATAATCGTCAGTTTATGTGATAGTAAACCCCTTGATTCACTGTTCAATGCATTTCAATTGCATTGGACAATAAAAGAGTCCATTGGCCTACCTATACTGGTGATGATTTCTGTCGATGAATAACGTTACTCTTTTTGTATTGTTTTCATCACATTGCTTAATTACTACAGAAAGAATACTTACGCGAAAGTTGGGAGATCGTCGTAACTGGCTTGGAACTGGAAGAACTGAGTGAAGAAAGGAAGGGTTTGTTCAGCGGTGCCCATGATGACTGTTGCAGCCAAAGCTAAAGACATGGCGCTTATTCTCAGTATAAGGTCGAATATAGAAATGCCCCTCTTGTACCGTCCCCTTACATGCTCGGCCGCCACTGGTGGTACCGCCCCCAAAAGCGGCGCTTTCCCTTTCCTTTCTTTGCTCGTCTCTGCAATCTCAATCTTGGTTGACTCGCTTTTCTCCATGTTTAAGAGTAAGAAAAAAGATAAGTCGAGTATTTCCTCACTCTTTTTTGATGGTTAAGATGGTTCACAGCTTGTGATGAGAATGGGAAGAAGAGAAGATGGATACTTATATGTGTAGAGGGATGCATAGAATTATACTTTTTGTTGTACAAAATAGAATCCCAGCTCATTGTTCTGTTAATGGAGTAAGAAGAGTTAGTTGCCAACTTTTTCCATATGGCTAATATAGTTTTTCATCACTTTTTGAATATTAAGGCGTGATATGATGTTGCTGAAGATGCCACTTTTTTTCCTTTTCTTTTTCTTTTCCTTCCAGTTTCGAGGAGAATAAGGTGAATTAATAAAGATACAAATGTTTGTTGCGTTAAATTAGATTAAATTTAGTACGGCAAAAAATGTTGCAAAGAAACAATAACTATCAATTAAGATTATTTTTAATTTCAAAAGAAATCATACTTAGATGATAACATTTAAGAATATTAATACAACACACTATTTGAAATAAATTAAAAAAATATATGGCTATGAAAGAGGGATTTAGTAGAATAGTTTTAAACTTTTTTATAAGTGTCCCTCGTTGAATGCCTGCATATTTCATAATTAAGAAGTGTATTCACGACTTTTTGTACCCATTTCTCGTGACACGTTAGTAATTCTCTCCTCGTTACTTGCTCGCCATGAGCATTGTTTGTTTTGGATAGATAACTCTTTCTAAGGAGGGTAATGGTCTAGGTGCGATTTTTTATAATACAGAATGACGATAAAAAATTAAATATGAAGAACCATATGCAATTGAAAAGGTATACATAGTACGATTGGAAATGTTAAAAGCTAAAATCTTACTTTGAATATGATAATGATAACAATAATTAGTATATAAGGATTGTACGACTCCTGTTAATAATGTTAACTTCTAAAGATGGAACATCAAAACTCAATAATTATGGCGTAGTTTTAAGGGTCTGTTCTCTTTACCATTTTCAAACCGTTTCCTGTTTTCGATTTTACAAAGTAGTGAAAACGCGTTATCTTTCCTATTTTCGAAAACGCGTTTTTGAAAACAAATTAAAAATTTACAAAAAAAAACCCAAAACGACAAAGTGTTTTCAATTATAATCAAGTTAAAATTTTCAAAACATATTTTGGGTGTTTTGAAAATAATTTTTTAAAATGCGAAAAAGAACATATTTTTGACAATCTCAAAACAAACACTCAAAATACGAAACCTAAAATGAATTCAAAACTCAAAATACAAAACTAAAATATAAAGAGAACAACTCCTAATATTTTCAGAATATGCTTGAGAGTTGAAATGTGTGAGAGAGATTTTATATGACTATACAATTTTTTTATACAGTGGAATATCCTTGTCTTTGATCACCTTGATTTTTCTTCAATTTTGAAAATTTTTGCCTAACTTCTTGTGTTATTATTTTCTATATTTTAAAATTTTTGGCTTTTAACTCTGAACAAAGATCTTGTAAACAGATAAAGAGAATTACACTCAATTGTGGCGAACAATGATACTAGAGCATAAGGTCATTTGAAGTGGTGCAGAACGTGGAGAAGTTTTATGGGAGAATCAATTTTGATTCATCATAGATTGCATAGTTATTTGAAAAAAAAAAAAAAATAACAACCCAATTTTTAAAGGAAGTGAACAGTCTGGACACCTCAAGAAAAAATGTCCAAAAGATGGAGCAAGTTTAGCTAATTGCTCAAGTCAATAAATGGAAATATTAGCCATTTTCTACATTGAAAAACGCAAGATTCGACCCAACTACACTTAGAAGGGGGCTACACCTAGAGGGGGGTGATTAGGTGTAAATGCGGAATTATCAATCTAATTAACTAGTAACATGTTTCAAGTTAATTATATTTAGGTGATTAGTCAAACAATCCAATTTAGTCTATCTTTGAATACCACAGTTATATTACAATAATAAATAAAGTAGTAAACAATATCAGATTCGTTCATGGAGAAACTCAACGTGGGAAAAACTCAGGCGCTTTGTCAGTCAAAGATCCACTATAAACTGATAATACACTTACCGACCACCAGTAAAGTTGACAATACAATCTTTTCGATCTTCTATCTGAAGTAAGAAGCATCCCTCTTGAAATGTGCACACGAACACCAAACTGGACTCTTCTTTGTAAAGCAGTCCTCCTGCAATGAGCACACGAACTCTAATCCTGACTCTTTACGCAGTTTATCTCATGTAGATATTCCCCAAGAACTCCTCGTTCTTTAAACTCTTCTTTGATCTTTAATGCAGCACAATGACGACACAATCTTGCAGCAGACCCAAGCGAAAAAACCAATTCAATGTTTGATTTGATGACTTTGATGTTTTCTATGAAAGAAACACATATGAATTGAAGGATTGAACTTTTGATCTAATGTAGGATGTATTCTCTATAGAATAGAATGTGTTCAATCTTCTTCTCGTAGGAAGTGCGATGCTTCAATATACAGGTTGGACGAGATAGGTTGCATGGGCCAAGTAAAAGTCTCGAAAATAGAAAATTAGGTCTAGTCGAATAATATATCGCTCGAGCTAGAAGGCTGCTTTGCTTGAGCGAAGGGTCTGTCGCTCGAGCGATAGTGGGACGAAGGTCAAGTGAGGCAGCCTGTGATTCAGTCGCTCGAGCATCACTCCGCCGAGAAGCTAGTTGTGTGTGTTGTCCCAGGCACCCAAAAGTAATACCTTAACCTCTAAAACTAATTTAGTAGTGAAAGTAAGGATCGATTCTATAAAGAGTGTTTAATTCAATATTTTATGTTTCATACAATGATTGAGGGATTTTTGTATTTAAAGAATTGTAAATAACACAATTAATAACAATGAAAATTAATTTAACAAAAACAATCAAAAGACTAACCTTGGTTTAAGTCCACATCCACCGTCAGAAATCCACAATTGATCATAGATGTAAGGATAATTCAATTCATATTTTAAATATTCACCGTTGGAATTGATTCTTATTTCTACTTAATTTTAGTGAGTTAGAAACCAGCGTTCTAATTAGACCAAATTATTAAATAACCCCAAACCAGTGCTCAAGATTCAATTCAATAACAACTTTACACAATAGAGAAATCAATGAATTAGATAACACAAACACCAGCGGTTCCATTCAATCAATTCAAACATTTTTCTTAAAATTCAATAACCTCTATCGCAGAAAATTATCAAATCCTGATACTTCACAAGTTAAATGGATCAAAAAATTACGGATTTAATGTTTAATTTAGCGGTAGATTGTTACAATCAATAAACTAGCGGACCTTCTAGCAATTAAACGCAATAAATCACAGAAATAAATGTAGAAGAACATTCAATACGCAAAATATAAATTAAACAATAAGAAAAACTATTTAGATATCACAATATATGGTTCCAAAACTTCAATTTCCTTCGACCAAGTGTAAAAGTTTAGATACAATTCATGAATCTAAGAGAGAAATAATGAAGAATGGTGTTTCGAGGCGTCATCTCTTAGTTTTGGACGAGTTTTGGATTAAATAGGTCGTCCAAATACCCTACATAAGAGATTTGTTCGAATAAGGAAATCAGAAAATTCGCCCTCAAAATGAACCATGCAACTGCATGGTTATAAAAATTTTGCACTATTCATCTCCCGTTGGTCATTTACCCTTTGACCTTGCTTCCTTCTAACATTCGATGATATCACAATGTGTTACTTAGCTCAATTCCATGCTTGATTCACTATTCGAGTCATCTTCTGAATAATTGCATTTTGGTCCACGAAGTTTCATTTTCTTTCCTTTTGACCAATATTAGCTTATTTCTTTCAAATTACGTCATATCCATAGAATTTCCACCTAAATCAAAACATAAGTGTAATGAGTGCATTTTGACACTAATTAATCATACGAGCACAAAAAATAAGGAGGGAAAATATTCATTTTACATTCCTATCAGATAGCGAAAAATCGGCGTGAATCTTTCTTGTTCCAAACATGAAACCCCAAACCCTAAACTAATCTACCAACTATGAAACTTTACAATTTAATCCCAAAACTTATATAAGTATTCAAGTTGGTCAATTTGTTTACAGAATCGCCAATACAAAATATAAACCTAACATACATGATAGACCATGATAATATTTGGAAAGAATACATACATTCTTATGGCGTGTTTTAGTCAATAAGTTCTTAAGATATAGGGTTTAACAGGTTTACAATTTTACGTATTTGTTTTTTCCACTTCGAATATAATTTATTCATTTCCTACTTGTAAAAGAGCCCTCCCTCTAATGTTTTATTTATCCACTGCCTTGAGGTAAGACTTGAGAATGCTTGATAGCCTTAAACATATTAATATTTTGTAATGTGCTTGGAGGTTTGGTGTGTGTGTGAAGTTCTATATGATTGTACAAAATTTAACATGCTGACTTTTTATCAATATATTAAAGCTCAACTGCTCAAACTTCATATTGTACAGAGTCCATTTATATATAATGCAAGCTGAACAAAACAAGTTGGTGGTCCAACTCAGTTCAGTTGACATACTTTTACCATTAAATAAACTACACACCCACTACAACTCAGATTTTTCTTTTCGATTATTGTAACTAACACTTAGGTTCTGTTTCATGAATTAAAATATACACTTTCGAATTTTATACACATTTTTGAATTTCATAAAAAAAATTATATATGTTGATAATAATAAGAAAACATAGCTCTTAACATATTGCATTTACTTTTTATTAATTTTGAAAAAATTATAGAACTTAATTTTTCATAAGTCAAATTTGTTGAATATTAATTCTTAAGAATTGAAAAAATCTCTATAATACGAAGCTCAAGATTTTGTAATGGAGTTTTTTTGAGGTGGTACAGGTGGTCAGATGTCATCTTCTATTTATTATTCTGCAACTTTATTAGGGAAAAAAGATTTATTATATTCTAATTCAATATTTAATTGCATGATTATTAGTCAATAACAGCCCTAATCCATCGTTTC